ATTAAGTTGACTGAAAATATAGAACACGAATCATGACTACGTACTGACCTATTTGGGTTTGCTTGGAGGTTAGCTTTTAAATTAAAAACCTAATTTCAAGAAATCACTACGTGTGCCTTAGTACAAAGCTTGATAATTCTGACTTATTTGGTTTTCTTGTAGCTTTGTTTGCTTTTTAAAAATTTTAAAGCTAAGTATTTTTATATTTAGGACTAATATTTTAAAAATCTTTTATTTTCAACTATATATAAACTATTCAACAAATTGTAAAAAAACAATTACAGAAGAAGAAAAATCAACAAACTCGTAAAGAGCAACACACAAGCATCTGATGCAGTAGATTTTTTGTTTTCACTAAAATAAAGACTATTGATTTTCTTATGATCAGTTTGATGAATCATCATTTATCAATCAGTCTTGCTTCTCTCGTTCCTTATTTTTCTTTCATCCGAGAGAATTTTCGCAAACCTGCATGAACAAATTATTCATACTATGAGATGATTGCTATTCAAGATAACCTTCTAATAGATTTAAAAAACTTTCCATCACCTCTTGAGTTCTTGATCATTGGTGACATTTCGAGGAATAGGTTCATATATATTAGTGTCTAGGTTCATACGAACGACATTGCTTTCGAGTAATTTCTCTACAATACTCTTTCGATTCTCTAAGTTCGACATCGCCGATTTATCCATTGAGACTTCATCTGGTTTCAATGTATCAACCTGAGATACATTTCCACATATATTATTTTTTCTTTCACATATTAAACATTTCATCTGGTTTGTAATTGACATCATCCAGCTTCTGTATTGTTACAAACATATATTATTCTCATATCAATAAGTAATTCTCATTTTTTTTCTCTAAACATAATATAAATTTATAATGCCAACTTTGTGCTTTAAGAATCTTTTTATATCTCATTATTTTATATCATTCATACATTTTTGTACAACCTTTCCTACAAGTTATTTTGGAAGCATTTCCAAATGTTTCATATAAAATTTGTTTTCCAGTATTTTTGGAAAATTTCCAAGTTATAATATAAACCAAAACATGAAAATGGTATTATTTTTTATCTTTTGGAATTTAGAAAAGTATGAGTTTCTTTACTCTGGTGGAAATATTTTGGCAGCCTCTCTAAAATAAAACGGAACAATCATGTAGTTTGCGTAATGGAAGTGAACTAATCTATCTTGTTAATTCATATAATGGAATTGAGCTTCCTTGTTAGTTTTGCACCATTTAATTAGTCACTATACATTCTAAATCAAATTGTATAACCCAAAATCCATGTTTTTCCATCTTTGATCAAGTTCCTTTTTTTTTTTTTGGAAAACATTCAATTCCTTAATTAAACTTCGGTTACAATCAAAGTTCTTGATTTTTTTTATCAAGTTCTTGATTATTGATTTTTTTGTTAACTTTTTTTCTTACTTCTAGTTGACTTTTGCATTTGAATTTTTTATGCTTGATTATGGTTTGTTTTAATCTAGTTAGTTTATTATTTATTTAGATGATTAATTTTGTTTATCCTCTTATAGCATTCTTATTTCACTTAGTTGCAAAATTACAATTCTAAAATCCAAACATATCGTTTAGCTTAACTTAGTTGGTTACTTGCATTTTAAGTATGTTATTCTACTCCTTGTGGTTTAATTAATACCTTAATTACTACTTAATTGCTTGAACTTATGTATTAGTTTGAGATTTAAAGTTTGTCTCAATACTATTATCATTAAAAAGTACAAAAATGAAAATCAACAAAGCGTGAAGAGATATGGCGGACCAAAACACACATATGTGAATCGTAATCAATGTAAAATATGCGATGGTGGTTATGTATTTTTCTTTTTTGTGCATATCATAATGTATTAGTTACTTTTTGTATAGTCATGAGTTATATTCTCTTTTGGTGAGATGTATAATATAACCACATAATGGATAATATTTGGTATAAGTGGCCCAAAAAAAACGTGACAATTATTCAAAATGACTCAAAACTATTAAAAAATAATTAGACTAACCCACCAAAAAAAAAATTACTAGTTTAACTCACATTTTAAGTAAAAAGATTTCTCACATTATAAACTTTATCATATTATCCAAAATGCTATTTATATTTATTTAAAAAAATAAATCTGATTTTAATAGTTTTGTTCCCTAAAAATTAAACACACGAACCCTAAAATTGGAGGTTCATAGTTTTGTTATCAGAAGTCGGAGGCCACGGCGAGGCACGACACCACTTTCATCACAACAAACACACGACACCACTTTCATCAGAAGTCGATTCCCCTGTGGTTCCACGCCTACAAAGTCAGCACGACGATTGCGTTTCGATCTACAAGGTACGAGACTCGCGAGAATCACAAGGTTTGATCGCGGTGCAAGCAAATTTCTAGGGGTAAGCAATTCGATTCTTTTTCTTCACGATGTAAT